CCCCCCCCAAAAAAAAACTCAACCAGTCATAGTGGTACACCTGTAATCCCCACACTAGAGAAAACAAGATTGTGAGTTCTAGACCAGCCTGCGCTACCGAGAGTTCTTACTGTGCAGCCTAGTTCAAAACTAAATAGTAAGACCTTGCCTCAAATTTAAACAAGAGAAGGAAACTCAATAATTGCATTTGGTCCTATGTGGCTAACTAGTTAACCAGTTTGGCCTCTGTCAACACATCCATTATATTTTCCTTTGAACTTTCAGAGCTTACTAGTTCTCCTTGAAGTCAGTATCTTATAGAGGCCCTTGTTAATTAATTGAACAGAATCTTTTATTTTAATTTTGTGTCAATCATGTTTTAAATTTGGGAAAAGTATACTTTAGCACTACCCATGTTACTCTGTATGCTGTATTTGACTGACTTTGAAATTTTATTTTCATGGACTTATTGTTTTGCTTCGTGCGCGCACACGCGCATGCACACACACACACACAAATACACACACACACACACACACACACACACATGGCAGAGGGGAGGGGGGGCTCGAACTCAGAGCCTCACATGTTCCTGTTTAGTTTTTTCACTCAATCACTTGGGCCATGCCTCCACTTCCCGCTTTGTGCTGGTTAATTGGAATCTTTTTGGATTTGTCTGTCCTGTCTGGCTTTACACTTCCATTCTCAGCTCTCAGATTCCTTAGTAGCTAGGATGACAGACATGAGCCACTAGCAGCTGGCAGTAACTGATTCTTTTCTTATATTATCTGATTGTGGTAAAATATATGTAATAAACATTCATCATAGCCAGGCACCGGTGGCTCATGCCTGTCACCCTAGCTACTCAGGAGGCTGAGATCTGAGGATCACGGTTCAAAGCCAGCCCGGGCAGGAAAAGTCCGTGAGACTCTTCAATAAACCACCAGAAAACTATAAGTGTGCTGTGGCTCAAGTGGTAGAGTGCTCACCTTGAGCTGAAGAGCTGAGGGACAGCACCCAGGCCCAGAGTTCAAGCCCTACAACCGACAAAAAAAATAAATTAATTCATCATTTTGCAGAGTGCTAGCGGTTCACATCTGTAATCCTAGCTACTCAGAAGGCTGAGATCTGAGGATCGTGGTTCAAAGCTAGCCAGAGCAGGAAAGTCCATGAGACTCTTATCTCTGGTTAACCACCAGAAAACCGGAACTGGTTCTGTGGCTCAAGGTGGTGGACCTTGAGCAAAAGAGCTCAGGGACAGAGCACAGGCCCCACAACAAAAAAATAAAAATATATATAAAAATAAATAATCATTTTGGCTACCTCTAAGTAGGCCATTCAGTGGCACTAACAAGATTGGTGGTGTCTGCTGAAGAATTGTTTTGTGTTGTTAACTCTAAATTTGAGCTTTACAAATATTGTCCTGTACCAGTCAATCCTGCAAACTAAATTGTAGCTTCATTTAGCATGTAGCTAAACTGAACATCTGAGGAATTTGACTTCGTCGCCAATAAACCACCAATGGTAGCAGATAACCCACAGTACAGCCACATTTATGGAAAGCAAACACCCTGTGGGTACCAGTCCAGTTGTGCCTGTGTCTCACTTCAGTTATCTAGACCTTACTTCTGTTTTCTGCACCCTGATTCCCTTTTCCTGTCCATAAATGTCAGTTACTGGCACCTAGAGTTTCACAGAACTGCTTCTGACTCTGAGGTCTGCCACGTTCATGGTTCCTTACTCATTTAAACTCTCTTTTCATAATGAAAATATCTAAAGTTTGGGGTTTGTTGTGGGTTTTTTTTTTTTAAAACAGTGTATGGGAAAAAAAATTCCCACACATCTAGCCACAGAGGTATTCTGTGTTGGGTATGGAAGTATAAAAGGTAATGTTGAGGGGAGGGTTGTTTTGTTTGGTTTCGGTTTTGGTTTCTTTGTTTTTGTGTTGATCCTAAGGGCTTGAGCTCAGGGCCTGGGTGC